TACAAACCCATTCAGCCCAGGTTAATGTGGCTACCTTGGCCTCAGGACCCATGGAAGTCCTGAGGGGACCTTAGTTAATTTTGTAAGACCTGAATCAGTGGCGGTCAATGAAAAAATTATTAAAGTTGCCAAAGTAAATAGCAAGGTACGCCCAGGTTGGAGAGACACTGGTGTCCAAATACCTTTGCTCAAAAGAGAAATGGTTATGGAAGCTGATGTGCTCCCAGGGGAAAATGAAGACTTCTTGATTAGGAAAATTTGAAACCACTGAGCCTTTAGCTCAAATAGAGTTGGAGATATTTTAAATGTTGGAATAGTGGATAGCATTCCAGTGGATGAGTTAACTAGTAATGATATATTGTCTTTGTCTAGAGTTACTAATATTATAACTCGCACTAAGAAAGAGTATAACTCTGAGTCCCCAAACATGGACCCTGTAGAGGGAGGCAAAACCTCTACACCCTTAGCAGAGGGCAGCAGAAGCTTGTCTTCAGAGCAGGGAGTTGAGAAATCAGCTTCTTTGTCTGGGACAGCTTTGGGTATGAACAAAAACCCAGTAAAGATCCTGACCCTTCTCTAGAAAGTATAAGGGAGGCTATCTGCACTGATGCCCCTTAGAAAGAAAGCAGGGGCAAGTTCTTTATACAGCAGCACAGAATATAGAGGGGAGCCCGTGTGGGTAAGGACAGGTACCATGGAGATCCCTAAAGACAGCCAAAAGGATTGTGAAGAACTATTAAGGTTATACATGACTGCCCATTTGCTGGTCACTTGAGAAGAGAGAGAACGTTTGAGAGGCTTAAGAAAAACTACTGGCCTCATATTTAGGGTGAAGTAAAGGAGTATTGTAGGACATATGACTTATGTCAGACGTGGAAGAAACCTACCAGTCTCTGCAAGGCTCCATTGTAGCCTTTACTGTGATTAAAGGACGATTTATGGGGTTGTCATGGAACTCTCAGGGCCACTTCCCCGGCCATCCAAAAATGGAAAAAGATGCACATGAAATGGTTACTAACCTTTCTGTAACTTGTTCTTCAAGATGTGTTGTATGTGTTCATTTTACTATAGGTGTTTGTGCACTCCAGTGTATAGTTGTCAGGAGAGTTTTTCCCTTAGCAGTACCTGATGGGGCAGCACGAGCACCTTTTGCTGCCTTGTGCACCTCACACAGGTACAAAGGGCCAAGTTGGCCTAATTCCCCTCTCTTCCTTTTTAAGGAAAGGCTCCAATAGAGGGGGAAAGGAGAGTGGGTTGTGAAATGGACATGTGTAGCATCTCCAAGAAATATAGTTATAGAGAGATTAGTAATAGTTGTTTCTTCTTTAAGTGATTGGACATGTCCATTCCACTGTAGATGACTCATAAGCCGTGCAAACTGGAAGTGAGTTCGGAGTCTATTTGAACATGGAAAGTATCACTTGTCCAAATTTATCATTGTTTTTAGATTGTTGGGAGATCATGTAGTGAAAGGTAATTGTATGACAACATCACCAGGTTGCCTCTCTGCAAATGTATATTATAGGACCATTAGCCAGAAAAGCCACAGACCCTGCTTGGGACCTAGTTGAATAACTCAACACACTATCCGAAGGCTTCACATTAGCCAACTAAACTAGTAACACAGGTGAATACAACTGGAGATGCAAAATAAGATCCTTTGAGTGGACACAGGACTGCCCTTCATATGTCTGCAACTGCAGTGAACAATTGAGTCAAAGACCTGAAAGGTATAGTCCATTCCAGATTAAAAGCTAAAGCTCTTTTAACATTCAGACCCTTATGACCATGAGACTTTGGAAGAAGATCGGCAAGAAGACTTGCTTGATTAATATGAAAAGCGGAAACCACCTTGGTGAGGAATTTTGGGTGAGGACAAAGATGAACTTTGTGTGAATTGAAGAAAGTATATGGAAGATCTGAAACTGGTGCCCTCAACTGCCCCACTCTCCCTGGCCAACATAATGGCCACTAAAAATGGTACAACAGGGAGTAGGCTGCTAGAGGCTCAAAGGTAGGACACATCAGCATCAGCTTTGCTAAATCCTTAGAGGTTTTTAAGGCCCGGCTTGACAAAGCCTTGGCTGGGATGATTTAGTTGGTGTTGGTCCTGCTTTGAGCAGGGGATTGGACTAGATGACCTACTGAGGTCTCTTCCAACCCTAATAGTCTATGATTCTAAGACTAGATTCAGGCTCCGTGGGGGAACACGGTTCTGCCCCTCTGGAAATAGTCTGTTCAGGCCCTTTAAAAATCTTACAGATATTGGGTTGGAAAAAAGAGCAGTTTTCAATAGTGGGTGGAATGCCAAAGTAGCCACTAGGTGCACTCTGCTTGAGCTAATCAACAACCTTTGCTGTTTTAGGGACAGAAGATAGTCCAAAATGTGCTGACTAGAAGTGAGGGATGAGGAAACCCCTTTCTGTATGGACCAGATGGAAAACCTCTTCCATTTAGCCAGATAAGTACTCCTAGTTGATGGTTTTCTACTATTCAGCAGCACCTCCTGAACTTCCCTAGAGCAGGACTCCTCTGCCTGAAGATTGGGGTGGAGAAGGCAGCCATGATTCTGTAAAATAAAGTCTGTGTGAAGTGGAATTGACAGTGGGGACTGACTGATAGGTCTAAGAGCTCTGAAAACCAGTTCTGATGGGGACAAGCCGGGGCAATCAGTATAAGATGGGCCTTGTCCTGCTTGACCTTGCACAGAACTTTGGGTAGAGAGGGATGAAAGGAAAAGCATAAAGGAGACCCTCTGACTACAGCAGCAATAAAACGGCTGTCAATGAACCTGGGATGTGGCCAGCTTGAGAGCAAACAGACTTCTGTTGCAAACACATCCATTTTGGGAGTTCCCCAGAGCTGAAAAATGAACCTTGCTATGTCAGGGAGAAGGGACCTCTATTGATAAACAACCTGTTCAGGCGACCTGCCAGTCCCCACTGCTATTCTGGGTCCCTGGAAGGTAAGTCTCTTTCAGAAGTACAGAGTTGACAATGCAAAAGTCCCAAAGCAGAACTGCTTCCCAGCAGAGCAGTGAAGACTGAACTGGTTCAAAATTGTATCACCCCAGCAGAGCTTGCTGGTTTGCAATACAAATCTGTAACTCACCTATGGAATAAAACTTTTTTGCCCTCTTTGTTCTTTGGGCTTGATGCCTGGTGACCCTGTCTCTCTCTTTCATTGGCTGCCAACACTACTAGGGAGGCTCGAGGGGGATGATTATAGAGATGTTCGAACCACTGAGAGGGGACATAGTACCTCCTTTCAGGTGCCAAAATGTTGTGGGATGGCCCTGATGAACAGTCAAACAGCTAAAACGTTATCAGTGAAACAGAAATGTTAGGGTGTTAGATCACTCTCTTGGTATGGTGTGGTTACACATAACAAAAAGGTACCAACTCTAGGCTATGGCAATGGAGCCCAGCACTATAGCAATATGAGATGGAAATTGTGCACACCAAAAGGAAAGAAAATGTGGTAGCAGACGCCCTGTCTAGGAAAGAGCACCGAGAACTGACACCTGCAGAATAGCCTGCAGCTAGCCCTACTGTGTTAATTATAGGAGGTGTGATACAGAGGCCTATTGGTGCCAAGAGGCAAAGGGTTCATTGTTCTTTATAAGCAGCTCATGTCTCAGAACTGACAAATTCACTACACTGAATATCTCACTTTCATAGTATTTACCCATGAAGGGTAGCTTGTGAGGTCTCTACTGAAAGCTTGTAACTTATTAATATTCATGCTTATAATCACTGTGAGATGTATGTATGAGTAAATATTTAAGGAATAACATAACTATATTTAACATGTAAAGAGCTATGTTATTATTTAATATTATTATATGCATTACCATAGTACTAGGAGCCCTAGTCATGGTTATAGGTGCTGTACAAATAAAAAACAAAAAAGTATTATATTATTGTAAAGTATATTTATGGGGCAAAATCCTGGGTTTTTTGATTCAATGAAAAGTCCTGTTGAATTTTTTGATATGTTATTCTCACAATTGAGATTTTTTACAAAAATCCCAATATCATATAGAAATATTCCAATAAAAACTTTGACATTTTGCAAACCTCTGTTCTTTGCTTTTATCTAAAATTCTACTTCAAATTCCTCAAGTTCTATTTGACCACATACCACAAATTTATGAAAGACCAGGATTCATTTCTTTTTTTCCCCATGTTTGCCTTCAAGGCTTTTTTCTATTAGAGCTAATAATAATATTGCTTAGTGACTTTCTGCACCAACAGTTCTATCTTTTATGATTGAAAACTAGGGTTTTTTTCTTCTATTCTTCTATATAAGAATCTGGAGGCTTTCCTGTGATCTATTGCCCAACTGTGCATAGTTATACTAACAAAAGGAAATTGTGATGCATTAGCTTTCCCTTACATTCTATAAGATATTTTCCTTTATTACATAAAATATACATAAATATAATAAATAAACAATATAAATAAAAGTTGCTTGCTGAGAAGCACAATTTGTTCATACAGTTCGCTTCAATACTGGTGTCCTGGCTACTATGTTTTTTCCCCTAATCCATTGAATGTGTTAGTAATTTACATCATATTCAATCAACTTGATACAATAAATTCAAAATAAGTAAAGACATGGCCAGTGGGCTTAATTTTTAAAAATGCTGAACACCAATGATTTCAAATGAAGTTGCGGGTCCTCATTATATCTGATGACCAGGCACAGTATATGTGGATAGATTTACACAGAAATCTACTTGCACAAAAATATAAACAAAAATCTTCCAGTGAATATATAAAGTAATAGCATCAGCCCTTGCTTGTTAACCGATCCAGATGCATACTAAACATTCATCTAGCTGAATAGAGTAATATGAAAGAAAAGTCATAGTTAAAGTGTACGTACAATATGTCATATTACATGGAACAATAAAGAATAACATTCCAGAAATGCCTTTATCTCAGCTACTTCTGTCGTAAAATGAAAAAGAACATTGCAGTGGTTCACTTACTAACCTGGCTGTTAAAGTCGGAGAAATAGCAACGGAGGTAAAAATCTCAACCATAGCCATTTTACAAAGGTCAGCTGCAGATCCTACAAAAGAAAGTGATCTGTTTTTAATATAAAATATGGGGCCGGGGAAGAGCTCTTTAGTCCTCTGAACTATGCAGGTCTGAAACTGACTCCATAAAGTTAACAAAGAGCAAGCTCAATATTACCAAAGAATCAAAAATGCTAATTAATACTATTAACGAAGTATGAATTCACCTTTAATATTGATATGGGAACATAGGAATTGCCAGACTGGACCAGACCAATGGTCAAGCTAAACCCAGTATTCTGTCTCTGATAGTGGCTAGTACCAACTGCTTCAGAAGAGGAAGATGCAAGAAAGCCTCTAATAGGAAGTTATGGAATAGTCTACCCCCCCAAGAAATTTTTGAACTACCATTAAAGGTTGGCTTATACCCTGAAACATGAATCATCCCAAATATACATACCTACATACTGCGTGCATGTGTGAGAGAGAAAAGCAGTTTCTTAACTTATCCATGAGAAAAATCAAAGTGCATAATAGCCTAAATAACCTAGATTTTAGTTATGGTCAGGCATAGTTTGATGAGTTAAAGCTATAATAAATCCGTGGAATAGAGTTAGAAAAGACGACACAAGCTCAGTTAAGAAAACTGAGCTAGGGAATGGCTAATAAGACAAATTTCTTCAAAAATAACCACATCAAAGCTAATGACAGCCATTTCAAATTGGTACACCATACATTCCTAGTCTTTTGAGTATAAGTTGTCACCAAGATAAGATGCTACCTTACTATATGAAATCACTACTGTATCTTTTACCGCAGTAACTATAGTCAGTATAAATAGAGGAGTGTAATATGGTCTTTAAAAACTATCTCAGAGCTGAAATTATGAAATTAAAATCTCAACACAGGAAGGAATTTTTTGGTAATATTTAAAAATAATTGAATATTTTTTAATTATAAACCCCATTTTAACACCCTTCCCAAATACCTATCAGAATTCTGTATCTGGCTGAAAGCTTTCCAGTGGAACAGTTTTCTACTGGAAAATGCTGATTCAACTAAATGAAACATTTTGTGGGAACATATCAATTTCACAGACATTTTTGACAATAAATTACTGAAACATTTCATTTTGATAAGGTCAAAGTGCTTCATTTTGATTGTATTGTTTTGAATATTAATATAATATAATATACTTAGTTAAAATGATAAAGTCAATAGAAAGCTACAATAAGGTCATTCAATATTTCAAAAATTTCATTTCAATTTAGGAGAAAAGAAAATTTTGAAATGTCAGAATTTCCTCTGGAATGGAAATTTCAAGATTCAACCAATTCTACAAAATTCTCTTCTGGTGTTTCAAAATTGAAAAACCCAAATTTGTTGTCTGAAATTTGGGATTCAGGCCTGCAAGGAACCAAATGTCTTCTGCGAGGTGCTGAGTGTCCTCAATTCCCATTGGCTTCAGTTACAGATGCTCTACACCTTCTTGTAAGATGCGGCTGCCAATGGACAATAGTCCAGAATATTACATAATTAATTTACCTGTTTTGAAAACAAAACATTAAAATAAAGAATGTTTGAGGGGAAAAAACCCCAACAATTCATTGCTCCTTCCTAAAGGAAAATTCAAGCCACTTTCATGAGAAGCACCTTCATAAACATGTCTAAAAAGTACTTTTCATTTGCATGATAGGGTTCACAGCTCCACTCTAACTTGCAAGCATTATGCAAATCATGCCAACATCAGCTCTTTAAATAAGTAAAAACCTGTAGATTTTTAATGCAACACCTTAAAGCAGCAGCAAGGGTCATTTAAAGATACCAAGTTACTTCAAATGGGGTGTGAACTCAGCAGACTGACATAAGTAAATTAGGTGGATTTATTGCATTTTGTTTGGCAAATTTGCTAGTTTATATTGCAAAGATAAGACCTGTTTAACTCTTTAATGCTTTCTTCCTGCTCATTCCACACAAAGAATGAGCCCTGGTTGCAACAGAAATAATAATAATACAATACAACGTCTCTTTTAATAGGTATTTCTCAAAAAACAGAAATCTGAAAAAATAAAAATTTGAGTCTCTTTGTAGTAAAACCACTGAAACCATGGTTTCTGTGCCAGGGGCTACACTACAAATTTATGTCTAGACGACTACATCTCTCAGATATGTGGAAAACCCACCACCATGAGCAATGCAATTACATGGACTGAACTCCCAGTGTAGACAGCGCTATGTCAACAGGAGGGCTTCTCTTGTCGACATAGCTACCACCTCTTTGTTAGGTGGAACACGAGCTTCTCCCGTTGGCATAGGTAGCGTCTTCACTAACCGCTACAGCAGCACCGGTGCCGCTGTCCTGGTGCAGCTGCGCCACTGCAGGGCTGTAAGTGTACACAGGCCCAGTCACAAACTGACAAAGAAACCAAAAAGAGACAGCCTTAGGAAAACTGCATTTGAAGTGCTGCAGCAGTAATCTTCCACCTCATACAGCTAGCTACCCTAGAGTATTATAGCATACCATTGTGTTCTTGTTCCCTACCGGCTAGTGAGTGTTTCATATTCTGTCACTTAAAGCTGTAAAATACAAAATTAATTCATGCCACCCATTTATTATTTCGTGTCTGTTGACTTCATTTGTCAACCTCCACCCAGTCAGAGGAAATTAAACCTCCTCCTTTTTAAAATTTTTTTTTTACCTTTGGACAACAAAGTTGACAGCCTGCCTCTCTGCTTGAGTACGTAGTCTGTAGTCTCGAGCATTGATATTAGGCAAGTGTCTTTTACGTCCCATGATGGAAACCACATATCCTTTTGATATGTAAAATAGAAAATAGCGTTAATGGAGTGGTTAAATATGAGATTTGAAACAAATCTTCCAATATTAAGTTGTCAGCAATTTCCTGATGCTTTTGGCCAATATTACTGAATATTGAAAATAGTCTAAGTCACTTGTTTCAACATTTATTCCCCAGCTAATCAAAAGTAGTCTGACTGGTAGAGTGAAATGTGGATGCAACCACATATCACTGATATCTCCATTACTCTAACCCTGCAAGGCATTAAGCACACTCAATTCCAATTCAAATCATCGAAGTTACTCAGGCCTGATCTAAACTTAAAAGTTTTGCTGGTATAGCTATGTCGGATAGGACTGTGAAAAAAAAAATTACACCCCTAAGCAACATGCCAATGCCAGCAAAAGCCCCAGTATAGACTCAGATGCAAAAAAGTCCTTTTGCTGGTATTGCTTATTTTATTCAGTAAACTGGTATAAGCTATACCAGCAAAACAACCCTTCCCAGTAAAAATTGCACCTCCTCTAGGAGGGTTTGCTGGTATAGCTATACTGGTTATATGATTGCTGACAGCTCATAATGGACGCAAGTAGAGACAGGTGTCTTCCATCCCTGCACTGGCTCACAGCCAAGGATTTTAGCTATGGGACTTTTGCTGGTTATATACATAGATCACGGATTCATTATCACAGAAGTGGGAATGTTTTTTGACACATCTTTCAAGAAAAGAAAGCTATATTATTTTAAGTAGATCTAAACAAAATATATTGCCTGAGTAGCACTTCATCAAACAGGATGTTTAGGACATATTTATGGCTTTAAATATTTGCAGTAATCCACTATTCCTTAGTAGAACTAACTTATGAATGCAATTATGGCATGAAATGACAGCCCATGGTTATGTACAGTGTTGTGGTGGCTGCATTGGTCCCAGGATTTTAGAGAGACAAGGTGGGTGAGGTAATATCTTTTATTGGACCAATTTCTGTTGGTGGAGGTGATGACCTGAAATAGAGCTCTGTATAGCTTGAAAGCTTGTCTTTTTCACCACAGAAATTGGTTCAATAAAAAATATTACCTCACCCACCTGGTCTCTAAAACCCATGGTTATAGTAATTTTTTAAGCACTGCAAAGAATAAACAAGGAACAGCATGTCTTCTGTGAGTAAAAGTCTGAATCAATTATATACTGTTATAGAAAGAGGTCGAAAGTGCTGTTCTGAGAAAATGATGCAGGAAAATGATAAAACACAAAACCATCGTATCACCTGTAGGTGAACACTTTTCACAAAGCAGTGACTCTATATCTGACCTATCAGTCCTAATCCTCAAAGGAAACCTGCACAACATTTTCAAAAGATGAGCAAGGGAGCTTAAATTCACAACTTTGCTAGACACTAAAAATCATGGACTGAATAGAGACTGAATTTATGGCTTATTACAAAAATATCTCACACACTAACAACCCTCTCCACCAGCTGCTTCCCCAACCCTTTGTTTCCTCCTTATGATTGGATGTGTGTTAATAGGCCACTTCACCTTGAATGGTCCCTTGAAATATGTGTTAATTATTTATGCTAAAAAATCTGTTCCATTTATATTTAGCTGAGTAAGTGTCCCAGACTGAAGAAGAGCTCTGTGTAAGCTCAAAAGCACGTCTTTCTGACCAATAGAAGTTGGTCCAAATAAAGATATTACCTCACCCACCTTGTTCTGAGAAAAGTAATTTTCCCGACACAGGATTAGTTGCAGTTATTAAAGTAACAAGTTTTGATGAAAAAGCACTCTTCTTCACTGTGACTGGTAACAACAGATTGCAAATTGTTGATTTTTTTCTACAAAATGTTTGTATTGAAAAGTATGTTATGTATTTTGAGGTGAGTATATATATTCTTTGACAGTTCTGATAAAGAAAATGTCAAATATCTAAAACTTTGCCCCAAGGGTATAGCCATGGGTGGGTCTGGGTGGGCATGGCCCACCCACTTAGCATCCAGGCCCACTCCCCAGACCTGGTTCTGCCCGGCTCCAGCACTTACTACCCAGTACTTGAGAACCAGTGGCAACCTCTTCCTTGGCCCTGACACCAGGTACCCCTATACCTGAGCCCAAAGATTCACCATACCACCTAAATCAGTGCCAGGAAAATATGTGGTTCCAAAGGATCTCGATGTTTTGGAGGAGCTGGAGTGTTGATTACTTTTGGTTGAATTTAACAGTCCTCTGGTATGCATGCCACTGTTACATCAATAATGATCTCCTCCCCAGCACAACAGCTGCTCCAATATTACACCCAGTACTCCTGCCTCAGCAGCCCCTCCTTTAGAGGTGGAATTCTCTTATTCCTCATCTGACTCACAACACAGTGGGAAGGGATCGTCTATCTATTCCCCTAAAGCCCTTCTTCTGAATTCTATGGGTCAGAAAGGGAGTCTTGGGTCTCCTACAAACCTAAACATCATCGTGTTTTCCTTGGGCCTTTATGTCTTATCCATATAATATCCTTGCATGGCCATACTGGAAACTGTGCAGTCCTTATCATGGGCATTCTCCCAACTCCACCTCATAGAGAAAGAACTGTGCAACCTCAGACATTCCCAGATCATTTTCAGCCTGCAGAAGTCTCTGAGAAAATTACTTACCTATCCTTATAGTTAGAAAGATTTTCCTCATATCTAATCTAAATCTCCCTTGCTGCAGATTAAGCCAGTTACTTCTTGTCCTACCTTTGGTGGACATGGAGAACATTTGATTATTGTCCTCTTTATAAAAGCCTTTAACATATTTGAATACTGTTATGTCTCCCTTTGGTCTCCTTTTCTCAAGGTCAAACATGCCCAGTTTCTTTAACCTTTCCTCATAGGTCAGGTTGTCTAAACTTTATATCATTTTTGTTGCTCTCCTCTGGACTCTCTCCAATTTACCAAATACTATTCATTAGTGGAAGCTTCCAGAGCAGGCGTTTCTTATGGCAGGACTGTATTGAAATCCATTTTCAGATAGACTCCAAGCACCCACCAAATTACATCATGTCACTTCTTGTGAGTCACTAAGACTGGAATATATCTAGATCTAGAAAAGCTGCTTACCTGTACAGTAAGTTCAATTCTTCGTGATGTGTTCTCTGTGTTCTCCATATTATATATATATTATATATATTCCATGACCTACCTTCCTTCCCCTCTATTACTGATTCCTATTATAGATTGGATTCTGTAGTGGAGAGAGAACTGATTGGCTGTTGGGCCCACTGTTATTTATGCCCTGGAGAGGGGCGTGAAGGCACTCAGGGTGCATGCATGGCCACAACAGACACTGCTGGCCAGTCTCAAGCACAGATTCCAAGGCCAGAAGGGAGCATTGTGATCATCTAGTCTGACCTCTTGTATAGCACAGGCCATGAACTTTCCCCAAGATAATTCCTAGAGCAGATCTTTTAGAAAAACATCCACTCTTGATGTAGAATCCACCGGGACCTTTGGTAAATTGTTCCAATGGTTAATTACTGTCACTTAAAAATTCACACCTTATTTCCAATCTGAGATGTTAGGTCACCAAGAGTGGAATATATATCTGGATAACACATCTTGAAAAGCTCCCCTTACCAGACAGGCAAATAACTTCCTTTTTGCTTGATTATCTGCAGTGGGTAATGCCTTAAGTGCCTCAAAATCTTTTCTATTAATTGCAATGAAGTTCAAAGTGATCTCTCTATTATCTACCTGGTCTCTTATACACACAACTGAATGGAAATAGGGATGTCTTTTGGCAGGGATGGGCACCTGAAACTTAGTTGTTGAACAAGAGACACTCGGGACTGGCCTTCTGGTGAGTGACTACAGTGATTCTTGTATTACAGTAGCAATTTTCTCAAGTCCTACACTTTGGAGAGTCTCCCTCCAGGTCATGTCTCTACCTTGACTTTCTCAGAGTGAGATCAGGCTTCTTTTTATATAGTCCCCCTTCCCAAAGCAGTCACATGATCCTCCAGCCCCATAACTCCTTCCTGGTCATATGTGCTGCAGCTGGGGGAAACTACAGGTCCCAGAATGTTCCCTTCTGACAGGACTGAGGAGTATGACATGTGGGCTAGGATGCATGCATACACCCAACAGACCAGTGCACTTTTACAAATTATATATTTATTTTATTAAACTTACATTTTCATAAGTCATTGTTTGGGGTAGTGAAGGAATTGGTTCATCTTATTATTCATTACAAATTACTGTAAAATTTTAAAACCTGTCCTCTTTTTTTCTCTTTGAGATACTTGCTGAATAAGACTTCTGCTCCCAGAATGAACCCTGCTCATGTCAAATTATACTGCATTATATTGATATATGATGTGCTCCAGCATAAAACAGCCTAAGGAACCTATTCTTCATTAAATAGACTTGATGGCTGCTGGCCCACAAAAATTCAGCCTCAGAGTTTCAAAGCTATAATCCAATTCAAGAGCCAAAATTTTTACATATTTCTTCTGTGCATCAGTCAGCATTTGTGCTCTTGAACTGTATTTAGTATCTATGGCTGCAGGGCCATGAAGAATGTTTTGTTTTTTATTTTTTTGGGCCAACAGCTGCAGACTCTCCTTGTATTAAATCCTGTGCCCTCTACACATCCCCATTTGTCTTTAGTGAGTATCCAGACCCTAGGAGTGAAGTAAGGAGAGAGGCAAAGCAGTGGCATAGCCACGGGGCCAATGGGGCCATGCCCAGGGGCCCTGGCCAACTGGGGACTCCCAGAAAAATAGGCGCCCCATGCCCCAACCTGCTCCACCCACCTGGCACTCCTGCCAGGGAGTGAGGTCTGGGCATGGGGGCTTGCCCCGCTCCACCCAGTGCTCCTGCCAGGGAGCAGGGTTGGCACAGGGGCTTGTGGGTGGGTGGGCTCCAGACTGGGGCAAATCCCTGTGCCTCGACCCTGCTCCCCAACTGGAGCCCCAGGTGGTGAGTGGTGGTTGGTTCTGCACTGCCTTTTATGCTTGTAGTATGGGAGTGCAAGGACATTCAGGATGCATGCCTGGCCCCAGCGGACACTGCTGGCCAAAAGACTCCAATCTTAAGCACATGGGCTGCATCTGATCAAGAGCGGAATATAATACTGCTTTTGAGGGAATTCTGCACCAAAAAATAAAAATTCTGCACACAATATTTTAAAATTCTGCAGATTTTATGTCAATAAATAAATGTGGAAGCTCCAGTATGGTAGTGGGGAGCACAGGCCACTGGCTGCACAGAGGTAGGAGATCACCCTGTAGCCCATTCCCCTCTGGGACACAGTCTCAGCGATGAAGCTGCACCTGACCCTGACATAGTGCAAGGGCTGGGCCCATGCCAGAGGTCTGTGTCTGAGGGGTGAGGGGGGGGTGGGACAGGCGAAGGAAGGCTGCAGTGTGGTCTCCCACCTCAATGCAGCCAGTGGCCTGTGCTCCCCACTGCCGTGCTGGAGCCTCCACATTTATTTATTGATAAATAAATGTTGCAGAAATTTAAAATACTATCCACAGAATTTTTATTTTTTTGGTTCAGAAATCCCTCAGGAGTAGCAGGTGAAGCAACTCCCCAGGGTTAGCAGCCCCATGTCATATGCATGGGGGTATGTGTGGGGGATCTGGTGCGAGCAGCTCAGTGGGTGGGTCTGGGTGCAGGGAGGATCTGGATGAACAAGGGCTTGTTGAGGGAGTTTCAGGTGCAAAGGCAATGGGATTCTGGAGGAAGGGTCCAGGTGAAGGTGACTGTGGCTCAGTAGAGGGGTGTTGTCAGTAGCTACCGGTGTGATGCTCTGCTCTTGTTCGATGATGATAACAGTCGGCTGCGTGCGTGTTCCCTCTGTGTGCCGCCCCAGCTCTGCGCAGATAGCTGACACAGCAGACCCCGAGAGAACCCCCAATGACCACAGACTCTAGTAAGGTACGAAGGAACCCGAGCCAGGTTTATTGTCAAACGAAGCACAGTAATAGTTTCCCGTAGACTCTACAAGACATACTACGAATTTGTGCCCCCTGGCAATGGATCGGCTTAGTCAGTGGCGGGACTTTCCACTGCCCCCTAGGCCAGACAAAGATGCGCACTCCAGGACCTACTTTTATACAGTTACAGGACAGATTACTCATCCCTACTGACATATTGAGGTACAGCCTCTTGGCTCATTAGGGTGCTGTCTCCCCTTTGATCATGTTGTTTCTATCCATCATGCTGTCCTTTTGACCCTGTCTTTAAGATGCACCTGCTTCTAGTAGCCCTCTTCTTGCCAACTTCTGTGAGCAGGGCCTGCCTCTGGCTCACAGCCCAGTTTTTGCTTAGCAATGCCTGGAAGTACTTTGGTTCAGGCCTCAGACTAGGCCTCTGACGCAAGAGTTTATGTTTCAGGGCCTCCTCTTACTACAGGGGGGTTCTGGTTGTGGGGAGACTGGGTGCTGGGAGAGTGGGGCTTGCTGGGGGGGGTACAAGTTCAGCTGGTTGGGGCTCAATAGGGTGGGGCAGGCTTGTGGGGACGTCCAAGTGCATAGGGGGTGGGACTTCTCAGGGTGGGTATTCAAGTATGGGGTGCTCAACAGGGGGTGGTCTAGGTGTAGGGGTGAGGGTCTGGATGCAGAGGTCCAGATGCAGGGGGGATGGGACTACGCAGGGGGGTCTGGATGCACAGGGAGTAGGCGGATGTGGGAGCAGTTCCCTGTACAGTGACACCTCCCTCCATGGCTGAGGAGTGATGAGGGCAGGAAACGGGGGAGTGCAAATCTGGGGGAGCTTTTTGTGAGTGTGTCTGATCCAGCTTCAGCCCTGGTCCAGCCCCAAGTGCTCTGTGCAAAGGAAGTGCGCTCCTACCCCACCCTCAATCCAGCAGGGACTAGCAGCTGAGCCCAGTGCAGGATAGGAGCGACTGGCCGGGATGGGGCTGGGAAGGGCCAGGTGCGGTGGGGGCTATGGGTGCAGTGGGGCTCCGGGTGCAGGGGGTGAGGGTATGGGAGGCTCAGTGGGGGGGGGGTTCTGGGTGGGGGGGTTCGGCTTGACAGGGCAGAGTCTGGGTATGGGGCGGTCCAGATGCATGGGCATTGGGCAGATGGGGGGCAGGTCTGACCCAGCACCAGCTGGGGTGCTCCCAGGCCCGCCCCTCCCCCCAGTGATTTACCTCTCTGTTGGCTGCTCCAGGCACCCAAAACGACACACCCATGTGGTGGGGAGCAGCCTATGACCGCTTATGCAGCTTCCCTTTGTTTCCCCATCAGAAAGGCATTTTTATGAGAGGAAGCAAATAAATCTGTGCGAGACATGAATTCTGCGCCACACAGTGACACAGAATTCCCCCAGGAGTAATAATATATATGGGCAAGTACTCAAAAAAGAACTTCAAAATTATCAAAAGGATAAAGTGACACATCTTAAGAGATCAGGTAGGTTGGTGTGAGGAAGGAAGCACCAAGTAAATGACTACGCAACTTGTTGGGGAGGCATCTAACGCCATTTGCACCAAGCGGTACCAATGCTCCTAGGAACAGCCTTGTCTTGTTGCTAATTATTCTCCTTTTTTCCTGAACAGCTCTACCTGCCTTCATGCATGTGCACATGCACACAAATTCAAAACTAAGCATAGAAAGTCAACATGCCAATAACTTTGCCTACATTCAGAGGGGTAGCCGTGTTAGTCATCTCGCATCTGAAGAAGTGAGGTTCTTACCCACAAAAGCTTATGCTCCCAGTACTTCTGTTAGTCTCAAAGGTGCCACAGGACCCTCTGTTGCTTTTTGCCTACACTGAGCACTAAATGTTTATTGTTATATATTTCAATGTTTCAATTATGCCTATCAAACACTATAGATGCACTACCAAAAGTAGCAACACAGACATTAAACGGATCAGATCAACCTCTGGAAAAACAGACCTTTACTTTATCCTATCATTCCCCAACCAACCTTCTCCTCTGAGAAAGTTTGAGAAAAGATCAGGTGAGTCTAGTGCTCTGATGGACGAAAAGCAAAAAGTTAATTCTAAAGTGAAAATCCTCTCACAGAGGACATCCTGCCACCAACCCAAATCTAAGGTTTAGACCAACTTATGTTGATATAACTACGTTGCTCAGGGGAGTAGAGAATCCACGCCCCTGGGCGACGCAGTTATACCAACCTAACCCCAAGCATAGATAGTGCTATGTTGACAGGGGGCTTCTTCCATTGACATAGCTACCACCTCTTGGGTGGTGGATGGGAGAAGCTCTCACATCAGCATAATTAATATTTCACTAAGCGCTACAGTGACGCCGCTGCAGTTAGGGTGACCAGACGTCCCGATTTTATCAGGACTGTCCCGATATTTGCTTGTTTGTCCCACGTCCCGACCAACGTTCGGTCAGGACGCGGGACAAACAAGCAATTTTGCCCTCTGCTCCGGCGCACCCCGGAGGGGCTTGCGCCCCCCCGCCCCGACTCCACCCCTTCCTTCCCCCATTGGATCCCTCCCCAAATCCCTGCCCTGGCCCAGCCCCAGCCCCACCCCCTCGGATCCCTCCCCAAATCCCCGCCTCTTCCCCAAGCACACCACATTCCTCCTCCCTCCCAGGCTTGCGCTGATCAGCTGTATGGCGGTGACACCAGCCTGTGTGCCGCGGCCATGAAGAAGGTAGGGCCAGGGAAGGGATTTGGGGACAAACAAACAACAATTTTGTTTGTCCAGCGTCCTGAGCCATATGAAGGTGGGAGAGGCTGCGGGGCACCCAGCTGGGCCGCCAGTGCCGCGCCCAGACCCCACGCCTGAGGGGCAGAGCTGCCGCCCACCGGCCCCCTCCCCTGGGGTGGCTGGTGGCCCCCATTCCTCAAGGGCTCCTGTGTCCCCCCGGCCCCTTTGCCCAGCTGTTGCGCGTGCCGTGCCCTGCCCTGAACCCCCCGGGGCTGCAGCGCAGGGACAGGCCACGGGTGGGTCGGCACTACAGGCCATTCTTGTACGTGGGGACAGACTTGCCCCATGCGCAGGGCAACTCGGTAGGGTCACAGCGACCGCAGGCTGAGCACGCCCCAGCCGCTCACTTCCTAATCCCGGGGTGCCTGAAATGCTGCTGTCTGAGTGAGCGGGATTGCACCAGCTGGGCACCTTCCCCTACAGGGGGAGGTGGAGACGAGGCGAGCTAGTGGGGGTGGGGGGGGGAGGTGCTCCAGCGGCTTTTTTTTTTCCCCTCCTCTGCCGCCCCCCGCGTCCCGATATCTCAGCTTTGTCATCTGGTCACCCTAGCTGCAGTGCTTTAAGTGTAGACAGCCACTAAATTGTTAGCTTAGACTCTTCAGAGGATCACATCTGCTGTGATATTACATGGGACACACAGATGGTGTTTTGAGTTCATATCTTTTAGTACTTTATAGCCTTTGATACCCAAAAGCTCACCAAAAAATCATGGGGTAGCCAGTGCAGATCACGGCCACAGGCATAACGTGCTCTCTTTGTGAAACAGGGCTTACTAAGCAGGCTGTGTTAGGCCCTAGCAGCAACTTCTAACTAGTTTGACAATATGGTGGTATGTACATTGCATTGCAGTAAGTTAATCTCAAAGTAACTTTAAATATGAATAACTGGACGTTAAGAGCCATATTCAAAAGAAAGGAACTTCTTGCCATTCACAAATGGTAAAGAGCATTCCCAGTAAATAACAATATCTGGGAAGAAGCAGCTGTGGTGGATCCAACCAGATCCTCCCAGTTTGCCAGCATAACGCAGGGTAGACCACATTAATCAGGGGTGGATATTTTCATCATTTCTTGCAACTTTTCCTCTCATCCTACAAGCATTATCTGAGTTGAGTCTCTGTCCTTATTGTAAAATGTAGCATAGCAGCTGAACAGTCAACAAGAATGCATCTTATAGGTTTTATTACCTTCATTGTGGCATTGCTCAATGGTTTTCTTTGTAAAGTCATGAATTTTCTTGTATTTCATCAGAAAACTCTCTATAAATTGACCAGCTTGAAGAGGAGTAATTCCCAAACATCCAGCAAGACGTTCTTTACCTTGTGCACAATAACGTAGAACAGAAAATCATTTAAATATTGCTTTGTTATAAACATTAATACTGAACTGTACATTGACTAATGGAATACGACCACTGTAGTTATTTTCACAAATGTGGATGATCACATACACTAAGGTCCTGATTCAGCAAACTACTTAAGTATATGTTTCATTTTAAGCTTAAGTGTTTTCACTGATTAGGAAAGGACTAAACTCATCGCTGAAATGCCTTACTGAATTTGGGTGCAACTCAGCAGAGGCTTTCTCCACTGCATATTACATCTTAATAGCTTAAATACGAATTTTAGGATAATATCTGTATTTTAGATTCATACAATGTATCCTGCAGGGTTCTTAGTTTTGTTCATTTTTATTCATAAACTAGTCAGGGGTAGATTTATGGAGAGCCTTGATATGAGGATAAGGAGATTGAATTCAATGTTGAATAAGCAGGGAAGTGAATGAAGAGATGTGAGGATGGCGGTGAGGGGGCCGACTGATTTTAGGTAGGGTGTTTTGGACAAGCTGGAGAAGTGGAATGCATGGAAGCAACAGAGAAGAAGAGTTCAGTAATTGAAACAAGAGATGATCAAGGCATGGACCAAGGTTTTAACAGGCGGGATGGAAGAGAAAGGATGGATTTTAAAGGAAGTGTAGAGAAAGACGCAACAAGACTTATAACACATATCTAGATGCTGGGTAAGTAAAACTATATCAAAGTGAATATGTAACAAGATAAAGCAAAGGAGTATGAGAGAAAAATGAGATCAGAGTTTTCCATGGTATGAGATTAAAAGCTAAGAGGTACAATTTAAAGAAATTTATGAACCAAGTAGTTCAAGTGCAAATAAAACCATATATCAACATATTGATTTTAGCCTTCAAAGACAGATATTTAGGTGTCAGCTACATAGGAACAAAAACAACATTGTGTCTGCAAATAACATTTGCTGAAAGGCAATGTCTTGAAGCACCAGAGATATAAAATATTAGTTGTCACAGTAATAATGTCAAGAGAAACTAGCTTGCGTTTTTGAGAGAGGGAGGATTTCAGCCACCCAAATGCCATCACTGTCAGTCTGATGTGCATTTCATAACAATTCTGTAGTATTTTGTACTCAGCTATGTCAGGAGCTGCACAGATGTCTAGAAGAACAAATCTAGCCAAGGTGTTAGAATCAGAAATTTGCAAGACATCTGGGATGACTCCTAATGGAATTATTCCAGTGTTGTATTATTGTTTGATGACCAATTAATTTAATTCTCCCCCACTTCCCCAAAATTTCTCATTCATTGTTCAGAAAACTGAATTTCCAGAGTCTGTCTATACCAGTTAGGAAACTACTTCTGGCTTCACAAGAGAACTGTAACAAATGTGAATATTCCACCCCCCGAGCGACATAAATTACACTGACATAAGCACTCATGTGCACAGTGCTATGTCAATGAGAGAGCTTCTCCTGCCAGCATAAGCTTATGCCACTCATGGAGATGGTTTTAACAGATGTGCTGCTGCAGTGCAGCTGTATCTTTACAGCTGTACCCCTGCAATGCTATACATAGACATGGCCTAATTTAGGATTTAATTAATTAATTAACAGATACTTTGGTGCTCCTCATTATATTTTTTACAGATGAACGAGGCACATGTGAAGTGAATTGCTTCAAAGTAGACAGGAAGTCTGCAGTGTTGTCACTTCTCATGCTGTTTTGTTTTTGTGTTAAAGTACTAACTCCTGGAGGCCAGTGATTAGGTCAGAGTCTCAGGGTTTTTGTTTTTGTTTTTTAAGTACATCTCTAGCTCTCATGGAAGACCTTGAAAATGTGATCCAAGTGTAATCTGTGGAAATGTGATCCAAGTGTAAAGGCTTAACGACCAGAAAATAACTATATGATATGATCATCATTTTGTTTTCTTCATTTGCTACGTTGTGCTTCAAACATAACTAAATTTGTAAATAGGTAGAGCTCTCTGAAATGGGGGAAGAATTCCTGAAGACTACTAAGTGTCAGACAAAAAAGAAAGATCAAGGATGGTGTGAGTCCACTGCTCAGTGGAGAAGGTGAGCTGGTAACGGAAGATGATAGAAAGACAAAGCTGCTCAATGCCTACTTTGCTTCAGTCTTCTCATAAAAAATAAAATGTATAGTGAACTTACTATAGACAATAAAGGGGAAGAGATGCAGATTGGGATAAGTAAAGAATACATCAGAGATCTTCTGAACAGTTTGAATGAATTCAAATCAACGAGACCTGATTGTTATTCACCTGAGGGTACTGAAGGAATTAGCTGAAGAAATCTTGGAACCACTGGCAATAATATATGCAAACTCATGGATGACAGGAGAGGTTCCAGAAGACTGGAGAAGGGCTAACATAGTTCCCATCTTTAAAAAGGGGAAAGGGAGGAGCTGGGGAACTATAGACGAGTCAGTCTGACTTCGATACATGGGAAGCTACTAGAGCAATGTATAAAGCATTCAATTTGAGAATACCTGGAGGATGAAGGATCACTAGCAGCCAGCATGGATTTACCAAGAACAAATCATGCCAAACCAGCTTGATTTCCTTCTTTGACAGGTAACTGGTTTGGTGGATAGGGGGAATGTGGTGGACATAATATACCTGAACTTCATCAAGGCTTTTGACATAGTCCCACATGACATTCTGATAATAAGCTGGAGAAATGTGGGCTTGATGGAACCACCATTAAGTGGATACATATTTGGTTAAACAATTGCAAACAAAGAGTAATTAGTAATGGAATGATGTCAGATTGTAGGGAGGTTTCAAGTGGGGTACCACAGGGATCTATTCTAGGTCCGGTGTTGTTTAACATCTTTATTAATGACCTGGATGTAGCATCAAATTTTCAGATGACACAAAGCTAGGGGGTTTGCCAAAACTTTGGAGGATAGAGCTAAAATTCAAAGGGATCTGGATAAATTGGAGAACTGAGGTATAGACAACAAAAGGAAATTCAACATAGACAAATTTAAGGTGCTACACTTAGGGAAGAAAACGAAATGCACAAATACAGAATGGGGGTAACTGCTTGGCAGAGCACCGCTGAGAAGGATCTGGGTGTTGTGGTGGATCACAACCTCAACATGAGTCAGCAATGCAATGGGAGATGATAGTTCCACTCTACTCAGCACTGGTTAGTCCTCAGCTGAAGGACTGTGTCCAGTTTTGGTCATCAATGTATAGAAAGGATGTGGAGAAACTGGAAAGAATCAGAGGTGAGTGACAAAGATTATCAAAGGGATGGAATGCAAGCCATAAGAGCAAAGGCTGAAGGAACTGGATATGTTTAGTTTGGAAAAGAAGAGATTGAGGGGGGACAAGATAGTGGCCTTGAAATACTTGAAAGGCTGCCATTAAAAAGATGCAGAAAAGTTGTTTTCTCTTTCCACAGAGGGCAGGACAACAGGCAATGGGTTCAAACTACAGCATAGCAGATTTAGATTAATTCTCAGGAAAAACTTCCTAACTGTAAAAACAGTAGGACAATGGAACAGACTTCCTAGGGAGATTGTGGAAGCTCCTTCACTGGAGGTTTTCAAAAGGAGGCTGGATAGCCATCTGTCTTGGATGGTTTAGACCCAACAAATCCCACACCTTGGCAGCGGGTTAGACAACATAACCTTTGCGGTCCCTTACCACTATGATTCTAAGTCACATACAAGTGTAGTTATATCAAGATATTACTGTACGACTCTAGTTTTTAATGTTTTAGGGTCTATACTGCTACCAGATTTCTTATTTCAATGTTTTATTAAACAGTTAAATCACTGAGTTGTGTTAGTAAATTTGCCTTTAAGAGCACTAGCATTTCTCAGTCTATCAGCCAAATAAATATTAAAGGTGAGATGCAAAGGCATAAAAATTGGATTTGGGTCCTTTATTTTTTTTGTGATGTAGAAATGTCTGAAAGTTATTTCTATTTATTCTTTACATTAGAAATCCAAGCCTTGGAAAAATATATTTATTAATGAGAAGACAAATTCCAGGAAAGTGAGAGGGGAAGTGATTTTTATTCAGAATCTTCACTTGTTTCAAGCAAAATCTTTTCAGAGGGAGACCTTCCCTTTACATTGTATAGAAGTAACATAGAAACAAACTCTATTTTTCCTTTTGCAGGTCACCTTTAGGAAGGCTACATAAATTGAAGTACTTTATAGTAGATTAAGCAAAAAATCAGCACATCTAAAAATAGATTAAATCGTTAAATGAATGGGATAATAAAGGAAAATCCTTTACATAGTGGCATGAGATCATGATAGTCAAGTATACAGGAGAAGCCCATTTTATTAAAACAGAAATGTCACCAATATTAAAGGAATTGTGGTATGTATATTTTTGTCTGAATTAAATTCTGAGCTCCAAAGAGCAGAAATCTTATTTCTTTACAATATTTTGTAAAGTACTAGTTACACTTATGGTACAGTACAGGGAGGTTAATAAAAATAACAACATTCAAGGCCAAATTCTGTCCTTGATCCGATAACAACTTCTTTCATCTTCTATGTATGCATCTACCAGTGGTATGCAGCAGATATTCCATACTGAATTATACTAATTTTAGGTAGGTAAAGACAGATGTTTGAATTACATTGACTCATGAGTTTCCTTATAGTAGCTCAGATGTACTTAGAAGTCAAAATGAAAAATAAGTCAACGCATCAACTTAACCAGGGAATAACATTCATATTGTGTTAATCCCGCTATATTATTCTGAATGATTTTTAAGTAGACTATTTTATGATCGTCAAAAAAATCAAGATGCAATATTCTGAGATCACATTATTCACCTTCAGAAATTCAGTGTATGGCCAGCTTTTAAAAATTTAAATGAACTCAAATTCATTGCAGCTCTAGTTAATCATCTAAAAAAGTAAACAGTAGTGAGAATAAACTTGTTTCTAGTTCTATACAGATCCCTACCTGCTCCATAAACTATTGAGTAGACAACGCGCTTTGCCTGTTCTCTATCTGCATGCTTCACTTGTTCACTTGGAATACCCCTCCTAAGCACAAATATAATATGGGTTTCATCTTCTATTTCTAGTTAAAAGCAAATATATATTCCAAACATCATTGAAAATACATTTTAAAGTCAATAATTTCATAAATGCAGACATACAGCATATAAACAGAAGCTCAGGGAGGCTTTAATCCTGGGCTTTGAATCCACAGCTTTTTTGTCATATAATTTGGTAGGGGATGTTGTCTCTAGTGAACCAGGCTAATCTTGGCCTTTTATCTCCCTTTTCCACCACTGGCTTGGTTGGAAAAACATCTGCTCTTAAAAGATTAATGTATTATTAGAGATGGATGAACTGGTTCAGATAAAATAAGAACTAACTCAACCCTTTGATGTTCCTTGACCTGAACAAAAATCAAACCCAAATATTTGAAGTTTGGAAAAGTTTGACTGAGGACTAGAACTGTGAAAAATATTTGTGCCTATTTTGATTCCACAAAGGTTCTGTGAAAATTCAGTAATTTGCATGGATTTTCCTTGCAAGTAAAAATGTTGAAGATTTGGAATGCAGATTTCCAAATTGTCTGGATACTTAGATAAAAATCCACAGGAAGGTTTTGCAGTGCATTTTCAAGTTGAGTTGGTCGATATTAGTCACATGAATTATGTAACATACTAAGGTCCCAAACCTGCAAACACTTATACGTGTGCTTCACTTTACTACCATGAGTAGTCCAAATGAAATCAACAGGACTATTCACGATAGTAAAGTTAAGAAAGTGCTTACACGTTTGCAGGATCGTGGCCTGTACTTCTGGTTCCAAATTGTCTAAGCCTACCACTGGAGTCTGAGGAAACTATTTCGACTCTTTTTCTGGGAGAGATTATAGATAAAATGCTCTATGTGAGTTACTAAGAAGCCATTTTGGCTGTGATTTTTTTTCTCCTCCTCCCTCTGCCCCCTGCCCTCATATTTATTTATTTATTTCTCCTGAGAATGGATTGCTATTCAGGTATTCTTGAAAATACATATAAGTCTCCCAGTGGTTAGGGTTATTTACAGTTTTAAAAGGGAGAAACAGGTACTCCAAACTGAAAACTACCATAGAAGCCTTCAGTCCTAAGTTATTTTACCTTCTTTGAGCTCATGATTTATGCAGCAAGGAAAAGGTAGGTCCTTTATGGAGGAACTATGTTTTGCATTTCCCTATTTCATTTATTTATGAGACACTAAACTAGAGGTTCAAGTTTAGTAGTGCTTAAGAGATTTAGGAGCCTCAATCTTATTTTCAAAGTGATGTGGTACTTAGACGTCATCTCTTTGAGAGTCAATGGGACTAAGGCTCCTAAATCACTAGGGTACTTTTGACAATTCTAACCTAGATGTATGACACATTTTACAAATACCTCTTAATTTACCATTTACCAATCTGTAATTGCACTACAGCCAAAATGCTTCTGAAATAAATGTAGTCAAACGTTACTAATTCTGGGTCACTGAGAACGAAAATGATGCTTACAATTGTTGATTGGCTCTAGTTTTCAAGGTATGCTATTGAGTCAGTATATACGACCCTTGACTTGGGAATGGCGGAGGATAAGTGAGTTATAAAGGGAAGGGATCTCAATTTAAACCAGAAATGAGTAAAATACATCGTTGACTGGATCTATGAATAAATCTATGACTGGGTTTGGACAGTACTTGCTTTTTAGGCAAAACAATGAATGATGCAATCTGAAGCTGGTATTGCATCATACGTGATATGAATTTCATCATGTTATTCCTAGAAGTCATGGATGATGCAATCATAACAAAGCTTACATCACTCTGCTGAACAAATTGCCCTATATCAGCTCTAGAAATCATACAGTGTCGTGCTCTCTTATT